TAAACGAAGATCAACCAAATGTGGGTGACATGCTCACATGATTCCAGTTGGCGGAACGTTTTCCTCGACTTAAACAAATATATTATATTATATTATATAATAAATAAATTAAACAAACGTCCACTTCAACGTCAATTTACTACCAGGACAATATATTTTTCATATCCGCATAGCATAGCTTGTGTGCACATATAATAAGATGATATTTATATATCAATTTTTATCTTTAGTTATTTTTCCTTTGGAAAATTTGGTTGACAAGCCCCATGTCGTGCAATTTGTAACGGCCCCGGAAAATATTAAAAAGAAATGAGTATTTAAATATATCGAATGCGGAAGCGAGATCAAAATTTCAGTTAACATCCCTTACACGAAAAACCAAAAAAAACGTACTTAAAATATAAAAGGTTAAACTAACTAAGAAAGAAAACTCGAAAATAAACTATGCGTATGACTACAGAGTCTCTAGGCATCCCCTTCGTCGTCCTCCTGCGGAACGGGCTCGGGAACCATGTCTTCCTGATCTGAAATGGTTAATTAAGGAGTGAGCTACACTAGCCCAGTAAGAACATCACGATATCTCACCGTCACGGAGATAAAGGTGGGTAGAAAAACACAAAAAAGACCAATGGAGCATAATTTACAACAAACTCGTTTATTAACATGAAAACCTTTACCATCCACTTACCTTGGTGGAATTTATGAAAACAATATGAGAAAAACAATAACATTATCATAATCATTGAATAATCTAAGCTGTAAAACATAACACTTATCACGCCTCTTGTAATTCAATCATTGTACAACATATCTTTTTCTCATTTACCAGCCTACTAGTATCCGTGGGGGTCCATAGGGGTTCCGCTACCCGTTAACATTTAACATTCATAATCAGTTTCCAGGACCGTCCCCATACCCGTCCGGTATGGGCGCCAAACCATAAACCTCAATACCCCGTCCGGTATGAGGGTGAAACGGGCCGTCCCCATACCCCGTCCGGTATGGGCGCCAAAACCATAAACCTCAATACCCCGTCCGGTATGAGGGTGAAACAGGCCGTCCCCATACCCCGTCCGGTATGGGCGCCAAAACCATAAGATCTCCATACCCCGTCCGGCATGTGAGACCACAATCCCGGTAGGGTTCCCTACGGACCCGGTCCGTCCACCATCTCCCAGGATATCTAGTCAGGCTAACCCCATCATACAATTATCAGTCTACACAATCTTTCATTTTCCTTTTCCTCAATAAGCATCATCAATTCACATTTAAACAAGCAAATCGTAATTCATGCCGAACAGACAACATACAGTATCAGTTCTTCAGTCATTCAACCCATAATTAATAAAACAGTAATATATGCATTCGAAACTATAAAATGAACACATCAAACCCCATAATGCATTTAAAGCTGTAAAACAGTGTAAAACAGGCCAAATAACAGTAAATCATCAATCACACTAGACTCGGGCTCCATTAGCAACCTTAAGCAATTTCACACATGCGTTAATTCAAGAAATACCGTTTTATCATTTTGAACTTTAATACCGTGATAGGAAATAGGGTGAGGGGTCCTTACTTGTTTTCGGGATCCGAATACGATTCACAGTGCGCCTGCAGGCTGTCCCTAATTTTCCCTGAATTTTTCCCGGGGAACTGAAACACGCTAACAGTACCTGCACGTGTTCCAAAAAAAATCCAAATTAGGCCCAGGGCCTCTTTCGGCCCAAATCGCAACTCTGGCACGGCGGCTCCGCCGTGCTCCGGCGACGGCGCCGCCGCTGGCGGCGGCGAGTCGCCTCGGGTTGACTGTTTTCGGCCGTTTTTGGCCGAATTCGGCCACACTCGCATTGGTCCTTGTCAGAAAACAACCCTAGGGCCCTCGGGGGGCCAAAAAATCACGGAAAAGCAGAGCTTACCGGCGGCGGCGCTCTCGGGTACGGCGACCCTCCGGCGAGGTTCGTGTTTTGGTGATTTGGCTTCGGTCAACCTGTAGAGAAAAGAATGGTGATCACGGTGATATAAAAATTGCATCGAACGGAGGCCGGGAAGGGCCTCGTCGGAGGCAAAAACCGAGAGGGGACGCGGCGGCGCCGCTGGGCTTCGGCTGCGTATTCCGGCCGTTTGGCCAGGATTTCGGCTTCGATTTGGCCATAGGAGGAATCAGTGGGGAAAAACGAGTCGGGGGTATGAAATTTACCTCGATCGGCGGTCGGAAATTTCTCCGGTGCGGCGGCGAGTGGTGGCGGGTGGCGGCGGTCGGCCTCTGGTTCGTCTTCTCCGGCGAGTGGCTGGCGGCTAGGGTTTGTGGTCTGGTGTGGGGGTTCTATTTATAACCCCTTGCCTTTTGATCACAGCCGTTCATTTCATTTTAATCTGGACCGTTCGTTTTTGATTGAATCTGGGCCGTCCGTGCGTTTGAATCTGGGCCGTCCGATCGCGCGATTGATCTGGGCCGTCAGATCGCACCCACGCGGATCGCCAACGTGGCTCCTTTTGGAGTGACGCGATCTTGCCACGTGGCAGGCCCCGGTTGGCCGGGACTGCTGACCGGACCTGCTGACGTGGCTGCTGACGTGGGCCCTTTTTTTTTTTTTTTTTTTTTTTTTTTTTTTTTTTTTTTTCTCCTCCTCCTTTCCGGGCGCTACACAATTAGTTGGTATTGATGATTAGCTAGCTGGTCAAGTAATAACAAAGGGACAAAGGGGAGCCAAGCCAAGACACTATTGCAAACCAGAATAGTTAAAAGGGGAACACATTGGTAATATCCTAAAAATTAAATTACGAATATTTTAATTCTGAAATAGATATAATCTGTCTTAAAGATTTATTTTTATGTTTTGAAATTGGTCCTAAAATGTTTTCACCATTAATATAAAAACAAATTTTTAAAAGAAAAGCTAAGGCAGGCGTACACGTCAAAAACGAATACATTCGAAAAGAGTAGTTCCATTCGGAGCCATAAACAGACAGAGAGATGCTCTTCAACGCTCCACGTGTCACTCTCCCTACCACTAGATCCCAAACCAACGTGGCAGTTTTCTCTTAAAATACCCTCCTCCAACTGTTCCCCACAGCCACCGGGTCCCACACCATAAACACTCCACACCACACCATTTAACAGTTGCGTCCCATGCCCCAATCATAAAGAGTGGTCCAGATAACACCACGTCAGCTCCGCCAACCATTGGCCAATGGCGGCCCACCTTTTGATTCACCAACATCAGACGCAAAAGTCTTCCATCTTTCCTCGTCAAGATATTTTCTGCGGTTTTCGCGGTTGTGAGCGAAAGTTGGATATCAAATTCTGAGGCGGTTTTCTCTCTCATTTTAGATTTTTTCTTTTCCTAATCGGCTACCAGACAAGTATTCGCCATAGGATGAGGTTAATTGTGTAATTGAATTTACTGCCGAAACATTTTGCTTGTTCTGCTTGCTGCTTCTGTTGTTTCTCTGTCTGATTCTAAAGAAAATAGGGTTTCTGCTTTTCTTTTTCTTTTTGTTTCTCTTAACTTTTGCCTTCTGGACTGGGGTGTATGAAAATGGGTGAAGTGGTGGTTAGCAGCGACGAAGTCATAGAGGTGGTGTTTGAGAAGGAACCGGACAAGGACAAAAACTGCAAGAAGAATGAGGATAAAGATGGATCATCGGAGGTGGTCAGGTGGGAAAAGTTTCTGCCTAGGATGATGCTTAGGGTTCTGTTGGTGGAAGCCGATGATTCAACTCGCCAGATCATAGCTGCTCTTCTTCGTAAATGTAGTTACAGAGGTCAGTTGCCGATGGCGTCGGTTTCTTGTTTGTTTGTACTTGCTTATATGTGGTCATTTTCTTACACCATGGTATTAGCGAAGTCGTGTTTTAGTGTTCGACTGGGCTCATATGCACTTTATTTTCTAGTTATTTGTTACAAATTGCATTTTATGGTTTTACAGTAGCGATCGGTGTTGACGATTAGTTTCAAATGATTGTTTCGAATTCTCAATATTTTTCCGGAGAAAGGGGTTATTCTTTATGTTTCCAGCTGAGCTTTACCGGTTTTCGAGTGCTTCACCTGACTTTGTATTGATAGGTTTCACTGTTCAATTGCTATTTTGTTATTGATTTGGAACGTTTTTTTTTTTTTTCCGATTAACTATTAAATATGCTTAAAACTGAAGTTGATGGTGCAGGCCACAATTGACCTCCCATGTGTTCTACATCTGATAGTTTTGCTCTGGATCAGATTTATAGCATTATCTTAACTAAAAAAGAGAGAAATTTCGATCTATATAGCTTGGTATCTTTTTATGGTAATCCGTCAAATCAAGCTCTCTTTTAAATTTTACATAGACAAAGTTAATTTCTTGTTGTTTGGTTTTTCATCTCTCTCTTGTGAAGATGAAGAATATGCTCTTCGTCCAAATTTCTATTCCCTCTTAACTGATAGTTTTTCTAGTCTACGAAATTCACACGGGATGCTATATTAATCATGGTTTTGCTATTGAACACTGTGGCTTCATCTCTATAATCATATGCGCCTTCAAGCAGGACTTTTGTGGAAGGTCTTACTTAGCTATATACATGTGCAATATATTGGGTGATCAGGTATAATAAGCATCTGAATTATAGGAACAGATCTACAAGCTAACTTGCCATAACCGGGCCAGTTCCTGTCAGAGTACACATTGCTGACCGATGAAGATAGTGGCACACTGCTCATTGATTAAGACAACTCAAAACAGAGAGTGATTGTTCGAGCTCTTACTTTAGCTGTCTGTATCTTCAGCTTAGGGGTTAGGTAGTAATTTAGTTTTCAAATGCACTGCAGATCATTTGAGTTGTTCAAGTGTCCTTCTGTCTAGTCATCATGTCATGTAGAGGTATAGCTGGAAGTTTAAGGAGGCCAGCTATTCTGTTAATTTGTTATTTGATTTTTTTATTTGTATTCCCATGAATTTGTAAGGTCTCTCAGTAGCATATGCTTAAATCTTTTATTCATATATAAGACAGATTGGGAGAAAAAGTTACCCCCTGTGGAAGGATAACATTGTTATTTTTAAAACTAGAGCATCGCATGAGGAACTCTGTTACCGGAGGGATAAGAGAAGCACCTATGGTTGTCTATCTGACTTATTTTTCTTATTTGAGAGAAACAAGTGTATTTGATTTTGTAAGCATATGCCTGTTGAACATTTTTTGAAATGTGTAACCCCCCTTTACTAGGAGTCACAGTTCTAGTAGTGAATGATATTGTGCTTGTGCATGCAGTTGCTGCTGTTCCTGATGGTTTGATGGCATGGGAAACTTTGAAAGGACGACCGCAAAACATAGACATCATATTGACTGAAGTGGAGTTACCATCAATCTCTGGGTTTGCACTCCTTACTTTAGTAATGGAGCATGACGCGTGCAAAAATATTCCTGTCATAAGTATGTTAGTTTGATTAAATGTTACTGAGTTATCAGTATTATCTTGTTTTCATTTGATGAAGAAACTAACTATGTTACCATTCTTCCCTCATTATCATACAGTGATGTCGTCACATGATTCAGTTAGCATGGTCTTAAAGTGCATGTTGAAAGGTGCAGCTGATTTCCTTATTAAGCCTATTAGGAGGAATGAACTGAGGAATATCTGGATGCATGTTTGGAGAAGGAACACCGTAGGTCATCCTTTCATCTTAAGTCTTAAAGTCATTCTCCCGTTTGTTTTCTTTTCTTGCTCATTAAGCACACAACATTAAATAAAGAAAATTTCCTGTTGTTTTTTATCAGCTAAGTGGTGGCTCTTTTCATCAAAGCTCACCCATTAGGCAACCTAAAGTTGAATGTACTTCTGAAAACACTGCAGCAAGCAATTATTCAAGTGACCATGCAACTTCTGCACAGAAAAACAAGGAATGCAGTGAGAAAGGGAGTGATGCCCTGGTAAGTATTTATGTGTTGGTTATCTGTAAATACATGCCTTTTCCTCTATGAAACCATTTCTATAATGCTCTGAAAGATATTGATGATTTTTCAAATTATTTATGCTATCGTGAGTCAATCTGTCAGATGTAAGTCTCCTTTGAATGTGGTAAAGCCAAGTGGAAATCTTGGTAAATTAAGAATTGGGATCGTTACTGACTGATAAAATTGATCAAATTGGGAAGTCCCATCTTTTCCTGCATCTGGCACATAAATTGGAAAATTTACATGAAAATTGCTTAGTTGTTAGAGTCCATTACCAAGGATTCTGGACAGAATGGATATGAAACCACTTATAGTGTGAGGAAAATTTCTTTTCCAGATTAGGTTGGCTTCATGAAGTTTCACATAGAGACTGCATGTTTGCCACCTCTTGTGCAGAGCTCTTGTACAACGCCTTACTTGGAAGCTGAGAATGCATGCATGCAAAATATGCAGGGACTTTCACAGCTAAAATACAGGACTACTTCTATTTTGAGAAATAATGATCAAGGGAAGCAAGTAGAGCATCTCAAACCATATAAACAATCTATTATACCAGAGTGCAAAACTAGAGGTACAATATTTTATCATGTTCCTTATTTGTGCACTTTCGTTATTTGATACTTCTATTATCTCTAAACGAAATATGTTTCGCATGATTTTTTATTATTAGAAGTTGGGGCATTTTACAAGCTATTTCTTGGGGAGTGAAATTTAATGAGCTGTTTGTTTCAGAAAATTTTGACAGATTAGGAACGAAGGTTGCACCTTGTGTACAAGCTTATAGATCAAGTGCCTTGAAACTTGAGGAAGGTCGTGACTGTTGCAAAGGAACGGGTCAAGAGGAAGGTGTATGCACAGAAAATGATGATAGAGATGCTGATATTTCTGTGGAGACTCATGGCTGCAATGATGAACCGGTTGAGCCTTCTAATGGTGCTGTTGACTTGATTGGTACATTTGATGACCATCAATTGCAGCGCATGTATAGATGCTCAAATTTTAATGACTACATAAACAAGTCGGAATTTGCTCCACAACTTGAACTTTCTTTGACAAGATTCTGTCCCAGTAGCTCAATGAACAAAGGGTACCATGAAAGGCATACTCTTAACCATTCTAATGCCTCGGCCTTTTCATGGTAATTTATAGATTTTCTTTTTCAAAATGCTTTTTATACATGTGCTGTATCCTTGAAATTGAAAGTAAGAGTCCTTTGGACAAAATTGAATGGATTGTTTCTTGAACATCATTTGAGCAGCAAAAGATATGTTTATCTTATTGTCCAATGTCTTTCATTTTCCCCATGTTTTATGATTTCACTAGTTCCATTTTTCTACTATAGTGGACTTTTGGATAAATGCTTATTCAGTAAAGATGTTAGATTCAACCAAATAGAGATTAGATGTGGATGTATTATACTTGATGGTAGAACAATCGTGAGAAGCAGTGGAAGCAATGATAATATGTGTCTCTGGTCATTATGGTAGGGTGATCGTAGGGTCATTTGTCAGAGTTCTCTGCAGTTTTTACGGGTGAAGGACAATTTGAAACATTAGCTGGTGCTCAAAAAACTCATTTAAGATTTTTCTAAATCAACATTATCTTCTACTAAAATAAATAAATTTTTTATGGATAAATATTCTTTTATATTTGATTAGATCATAATCTGTGTACTTAAATCATTTTTTTTTTTCTCGGAAGGTTTTATTGCTGTGAACTTCTCATGTATCCCAATTCCTGTATGCAGGTATAACAATAACAAGTTGTTGCAGTCCCCTTTCTCAGCAGTGGTCGGTAGTTGTACAGAATCGAAGGAGAAGGCAAGTAAAACACATGAACCGTCATCTTACAAACTTTCTCAAGACAGCGTTCGTTCTTCTGACCCGCTAGGTGCCCCATCAGGGGGAAGTCAGGGGAATATAATTGGTCAATCTCGAGACATTGGGCTAGTTTCTGTTTCTGGAGTGACATTTGATAGTACATGTGCAGAACAGATTCATGTTTCCACACCGATATTCTATAGCCAATCTGGTTTACCTCCACAAGGGTGGAATGCAAAACCAGCCTTCCTGAAAGAGCAATCTCCTTTTCCTATGAGCACTTCTGTTCATTCCGATTCTTACACCCATGACGCAGAACAAGGTTACCATCTATGTGATGAAACCATCGGTTATTCTGTTGACCAAGCAGTGCCCGTGCACAGCACTTTGGAAACCGTCAGGGAACTGAAACAGGGTTCTCCGGCTGCTGGGCAGAGCACTGGCACTAGCTTATATAATAGTGTTACGAGTCACGACAACAGTGATGCTTGTGGAGGCATTTGTAGAAGTGACGGGAATGGTACTTCAGCATCAGCAGTCGAGAAGTCCAATGCTTCCGAAATATTGAACGAGGGAAGTCTTTTAGTTCATAATGGCTTGAAAGTGATGGAGTCTCACCGCTCCAGCCAAAGAGAAGCGGCTCTAACAAAATTCCGACTGAAGCGGAAAGAAAGATGCTATGAGAAAAAGGTATTGTTGTGCATCGCTGCTTTCTCTTTGAATATTGCCATTTGTGGATTAATGTAGAAATCTTGAGTGTCAGTGGGTCTTACGCGGCCATTTGTGATTTGCATGATCTTATGCACCTGAAATTTTTAAGGTCTCTATCCACAGCCATACACTTCCCATCTTATCACAGTGGGTTGATGTATTAACTTTTGCTATGTTTAATGAGTGCGTGACTTGATCACTCCTCTGGTGCTATATATATACATGTATATATATATAAAGCTATTTTGTTCCTTCACATTTTTGTGATTCCCTTTTCCCGCCTTTAAAGTTTTTTTTAGGACTGGTAGTTGTATTTCTAATGCGGAAAATAGCTTCGAGTTGTATCACAAATCCCATGAACCTAATCAGAGACGTAGCATTTCTAAATTGTATCACAAATGCCTGTGATTAACTGTGGTGGGATTAGCAAATAACGAACTGGTGGATATATGAAGGTTATATTTGACAATTTCAATAAAAAATGTTTTACCAAATTTCACAGGTTCGATATCAAAGCAGGAAAAGACTAGCAGAGCAGCGTCCCCGAGTAAAGGGCCAATTTGTTCGTCAGGTTCAAAATGACACGCCAGCTACTGATGCTACTAGGTGCCCCTGAAATTTTTCAGTGCTCATCTCCCATTACTGTCAACCTGCGTAGTTGCGTCTTTGGCATCAACATGGGACTGATTATGACCGAGACAAGTTGATTATTTATTGCACTTGCTCATCATCGGTTTTTGTCAAGTTATAGGTCTATTTGAGGATTTAATTTATAAGGATTTTTGCTGGCAGGATAATTTGCTATTTGGCATAGGGTACTATGGGTATTTGCTTTTATGGAAAGGGTAGTTGTGTGATTCCGTAGTGAGGTTATCTAGCTATGTTTCTACTCTGGTGTGGTTGCGTATGTGTAGCTTATTGTATATGTATAATAATGTGCGTGTCCTAGGCATCTAGTTCTGTTAGCTATTTCTCTAGTAGTCTATGATGATGAATGAATTAAAATTGCTATGAGAAGTTATGACTGAGGAAAATCAACTTCTAACCAGTTTCATCTTGTTCTGCGTTTCCCTTGTAAGAAGCATTTTGATGAGTTTGAAAGGGGTTTTAGGATGGTTATCTTTTGTTTAATACGATTTGGTAGGCTATGATCATGTATGGGAATCTCGATAGAGTGCGTATGCAGTAAGTAAGCAGTGAAATTGCAGACTTGCAGTGCATTTTTCCAATAACTGAGTTACGATATTTCAACTTCTACCATCTCTCCTCTTATTAACTATGGAAATCAAGAAACGAGTCTTTTTAAGTTTAAAAAAAAGTGCGAGGCTGTCCATATCAACATCCATAAAGCAACCGCCGAGGGTGACTTCGGTCGTGGTGGAAGAAATAGTAGAGGCCGTGATTGGATTTTCCGGTTCGGCGATGAGGTGACTATTGGGGTTTATGGATTTGGATTGAGCCGAAAAGATTGGAAAGGTGATGGTTTGAGGAAGCATAAAGGCTATGTAAGGCAAGAAAATATGAGATCTAATTAGCAGTGGAATCTGACGAAGCCACCTACTTTCGCCCCGCAGAAGGTCGGCATCAACTCTTATCCAAATTATCGGTGCCATTTCGTCGTTCCCTCGTACTGGGCCGCCATACGGTCGCTAGATGTACCATGTTTTGAGATAAATTATTTAATAAATACTTTTTTTATTGGAAAAAGCGTTGGACGAGGTTCTTAATTCAACGTGATTATTCTAAGTAAACAAATTTATCAGTTTTTTAATTTTAAAAAGATAATATATTTATTAAAATTTAACACAAATTAATGACTGTAATCTCACTAACTAATAAATTAAGTTTTCAATCTCAATAAATTAAATGCTATATTGTAATATCAATGTCATGCTATAATATATTTTTTAAAAAAGTAAACTTTAATATTTTACATAATTTATTAATATCATGTATTAATAAAAAAATAATAATTTCATATTTAATAAATTTTAACGTGTTTATTATCTTCCTGTTTCGTGATGGTTTAAGTGTTTACAACATTTCACTTATTGAATCTATTTCGCAAAACATGTCAAATTCGATTAATCTGACTTCTATTTTTTTAGTAATCAATCAATTTCAAGTTTCTGAATCTTCAATACCATCTTATCCCTACGTGCATCACTCTTTTTCAGTTGATCTTACTGTTTTAAGTATATTTTCTACAAATTTTTTAACCATGATACGGTCTATCCCAACTATCTCAGCCTCCAACACTTCCATGCACATTCGATTTCCTCTTCTGCGCAACATAATGCACAATCCTCTCCTTGACCACTATTCATTCACATGTCCTTAAATATATGATTTAAACTCTCCAATTCTCTACATCTCAAGTTATTTTTTAACATTACAATCAAAATATCTATCTTCATATCCCATAAGGATTGTATCTCAAATATTAAAATTGTAAAAATTTTATATTTAAGAATCAAAATTAAATTTATAAAAAAAAATTTAAATAATTTAATCAAAATAAAAATAATTAAATTAAAAAAATTTTATCAACGAAAATCATCTAAATTTTAAATATATTCGCAGTTTAATTTCGCAATCGATTTAATTTAATCTGTAATGGTCGAACTATGTTAACGTACTTTTGATTTTTTTTTTTCAATATTCTTTAAATCTATCATTTAACAACTGTTAATTTTTTATAACAATTATTAATTTAATTCAATAAAATCTGTGATAATTCGATTAATTCACATTAATTCGATTATATTATTTTTATTTAAGTCTCTATTAATATTTAACAAAATATGTTTACTTAATAAAATTTCACTCTCATTATTTTAAAATCATAAATCATAAATAAAAATATGAGTCGATCAATTTTTACAACGAAATTAAATTCACTACTACTAAATTACAATAAGAAAAAAACTAAAAATTAAACTATAAATTTACCATTTGATTTCAATTACTCTTGTAACACTCCAAAATTTTGTTATTGTTTTTATGAATTTTATTTTAAATTTTTTAAAATTTTAAATGAAATAAATGATTGTTTAAATAATAATATATAATTTTAATTTAGTTTAATTTAACTAAATAGAAATAAAAATAATAATAATGATAAAAATAGTTAAAATTATTTTTGGGGTTTAATTGAAAATAATTTTGGGAAAAATTGGTGAAAATTCGGATTCTTAGGGTATTTTTAAAAAGAAAATCGGAAACTGGGGGTCAAAACGTAATTTAAAAAAAATTACGCCACGTCAGCAGCCCGGTCAGCAGCCCTGGCCAACTAGGACACGCCGCGTGGCAGAGACACTGACGCGGGAGGCCACGCGGAACGGAGCTACGTGGGTGATCCGCGTGCGCGCGATCGGACGGCTGAGATCCGTTCCCGCGCGCACGGACGACCCAAATCAAATGCGCGCGCGAACGGCCCAGATTGCACATGTGCAGACGGCTCAGATTGAATCATGCACGGATGGCCCAGATCGCATCGCGATGGACGGTCTAGATTCATTTTTAATTTAATCGCGATCGGACGGTTCAGATTAAATCGTGATGGACGGCTAAGATTAAAAGGGGAAGGTTATAAATAATCTCATCCACACCCAATCTGTAACACCCAAAATTTTTATTTTATTTTGTTTTATTTTTATTTTTATTTTTATTAGAATTTTGTTTAATTTTATTCTATTTTAATAATTAATTTATAAGGTTTTAATTTAATTTAATTTAATTTAATAGAAATAAAAAAAAATAATAATAATATAGGGTAAAATTATTTTTAGAATTTAATTGAAATTAATTTTAAAAAAAAGTTGTGAAAATTTGAATTCTGGAGGTATTTTTAAAAAGAAAATCGAAAATTGGGGGTCAAAACAATTTTAAAAAATAGCGCCACGTCAGCAGCCGTGTCGGTAGTCCCGGCCAACCAGGACACGCAGCGTGGCAAGGACGCTGACGCGGGAAGCCACGCGGGATGGAGACACGTGGGCGATTCGCGTGCACACGATCGGACGGCCCAGATCCGTTCCTGCGCGCACGGACGGCTCAGATCAAAAGTGCGCATGGACAGCCCAGATCTCATGCGTGCGGACGACCAGATTTGATCACGTACGGACGGCTCAGATCGCATCGCGATGGATGATCCAGATTTATTTTTAATTTAATCGCGATCGGACGAGCCAAATTAAATCATGATGGACGGCTCAGATTAAAAGGAGAATGTTATAAATAATTGCATCTACACCCAACCCCAAACCCTAGTCGCCAGAACCCTCGCCGGAGAAGACGACCCAGCCACCAGAGAAATCGGCCGCCGCTACTTGCCGCCGCACTGGAGGATTTTTCGGCCGCCGCTACTTGCCGCCGCACTGGAGGATTTTTCGGCCGCCAAACGAGGTAAAATTTCTTCCCTTGGCTCGTTTTTCGATGCTAACTTTTCTGTAGCCAAATCGGAGCCAAACCACCGACCGATTGGCCAGAAAACACTGTTGAAGTCTAGCGGCACCGCCACGGGTTTCATCGATTTTTGCCTTCGATGAGGCCCTTCCCGGTTCCCGTTCGATAAAATTTTTATACCACTGTGACCACCGTCCTTTTCTCTACAGGTTGACTAGAGCAAAACATCAAATCGTAACTCGCGCCCGAGGAGCTGCCGTACCCGAGAGCTTCGCCGACGGTAAGTCTCGATTTTCTAGAATTTTTTGGCCCTAGGGGTGTTTTATCACAGGAACCAATGCAAGTTTGGCCGAATACGGTCGAAAACGGCCAGAAACGGCCAACCCGAGGTGGATCGCTGCCGTGGGCGGTGGTGCCGTCGCCAGAGCACGCTGGAGCTGCTGTGCTGGAATTATGAAATTGACCAAAAAGACCTTAGGTCTGATTTGAAGTTTTTTGGGGACATGTGCAGGTACCGGAAGTGTGTTTCAGTTTCTAGAGAAAAATTCAGAGAATCTAAGGACTGCTCGTAGGCACAGTGAGAACCCGATTTCAGACTCCGAAACAAGTAAGGATCCCTCACCCTATTTCCTATCACGGCATTAAAGCTTAATAAATGATAAAACAGTATTTTATGAATTAATAGATATGTATAATTAATTAAGATTGCTAATGGAGCTCGAATCTGATGTATTTTTCGGTCAGGTGTTGTTTGATTTATTTTACAGTTTTGAATGCAGTATAGTACTTGATGTGTTTATTCTATGGTTTCGTATGCATGAATCACGGTTTCATTTATTATGGTTTGAATTACTGTGAACCCGATGTTGTGTTGCCTTATTTGGTGTCTATTACTAGTTTACGTGTTTATGTTTGATTGAATAATTGAGATTAAGAAAAATGAAAAAATGTATGTGAATTGATAAATGGATAATGTCGACAGCCTAACTAGATATTCTGGAAGATGGTGGACGGACTGGGTCCATAGGGAACCCTACCGGGAACGTGGTCTCTCATATCGAACAGGGTATGGAAACTTTATGTGTTTTGGCGCCAATACCAGACGGGGTATTGAGGTTTATGATTTTCGCGCCCATACCGGACGAGGTATGGGGATGGCCCTGGAATTAAGTTATTAATGTGAATGGTTCACGTATAGCGGGGATCCCTTATGGATCCCCATGGATACTAGTAGGCTGATAAAAGAGGAAATTTGTTGCATGATGATTGAAATACAAAAGTATGATATGTGTTATGTTACAGAGTGTGCATGATCTTATGATGTTTATGATGTTATGGTTTCTCATAAGTTATTTTCATGAATCTCACCGAAGTAAGTGGACAGTAAAAGTTTTTATTATTGATAAATGAGTTCGTTATAAATTATGCTCCATTGGTCGTTTTTGTTTTCTACCAACCTTTACTTCTGTGATAGTGAGATAGTGTGATATCTTTATTAGGCTAGTGTAGCTCATTCCTTACTTAACCATTTCAGATCAAGAGGACTTGGTTCCCGAGCCCGTTCTGTAGGAAGACGGCGAGTATAAGCCTAAAAATTTATTAGTTTCCCTTATAGTATTCATTCATAGTATTTCTTTTAGTTAGTTTATTCTT